GGAAGAAAGAAAGAAAGAAAGAAAGAAAGAAAGAAAGAAAGAAAGAAGGAAATTGACAAAGGATGCATTGGAAAAGGGACAATTTATAGAAAAAAAGAATTCTAAAGCTGATGCCATAATTCAGGTGGACGAGTGCCCACCTAGCATGCATGAGACCTTGGGTTCAACTCCCATTGCTGCATAAAACTGGGCATGGTGGCATATCCCTGTATCCAGTACTTCAGAGATAAAGACAGGAAAATCAAGCTTAAGGTCATCCTCAGATACATACAGAGTTAGTGGCCAGCCTGAGCTAAGTAAGAGTGTCCCAGAAAGAAAAGAGGGAGACATGGAGACAAAGACAGACAGAGAAACAGACAGACAGAGAAAGAGAGAGAGAGAAAGAGAGAGAGAGAGAGAGAGAGAGAGAGAGAGAGAGAGAGAGAGAGAAGAAAGAGAGAAAAGAGGGAGAAGAGAGAGAGAAAAGAGAAAGAGAAAGAGAAAGAGAAGAGAGAGAGAGAGAGAGAGAGAGGAAATTCCATTAACAGAAAAAGTACAATGGCAGCAGACACACACATTCGTGGTCAAGCCATAGCAAAGATGGTGAAGGCTAGAGCATTGCAACTCTGGAGAGAAGGGAGTTGTGACTTCATAGCCTGGTCACCTGGTCACAGTGGCGGGAGGCATTTCCATCACTGCCTGAGCTCTGGCTATGCAAGGATTTCCTTTCCCATCCTTTATATTAGTCACAGAAATCTACATATATGTTTGCACACACTGAAAAGATCATTTAAAAACTATCTCCACCTGTGTAACATACATACATACATACATATATCATTTAACTTTATAAGGTATGTGAAATACTATGTTTTTCAAGTACTTCTCAGACTTTTTTTAAATTATAGTCAAACTATAATGTTTGTTTGTTTGTTTGTTTGGTTGGTTGGTTGGTTGGTTGGTTAGTTTTCAAGACAGAATTTCTTTGGGTAGCCTTGGCAGTCCTAGAACTTGCCATGTAGACCAGGCTGGCCTTGAACTCACAGAGATGAACCTGCCTCCGCCTCCCAAGTGCTGGGATTGAGGCATGTGCAGCTACCACCCAGCCTATAGTTAATTTCTTATTGTAAAAGATAACTTCTCTCAGCTGGAGAAATAGCTCAACAGTTAAAAGCACTGACTGCTCTTCCAGAGGATCCAGGTTCAATTCCCAGCGCGTACATGGAGGCCCATAACCTTCTGTAACTCTGGGTCCAGGGGATTCCATGCCCACTTCTGGTCTCTGAAGGTAATCATGTAAAGACATACATGCAAACAAAACACTCATTGACATACAATAAAAAAATTAAACTCTTTAAAAAGATAGCTTCTTGGAGTACGGGGCAAAAACAAAAGCTTCTTGGGGGCTGGGCATTGGTTCAGGTCAGTGAGTAAAATACTTTCTGCATAAACACGAGGACCCATGTGATTCCCAAGTAAAAGCTAACTTTGGCAGCAGCATGTATTTGTGACTCCCATAGTAAGGTCCAACCACAAGAAAGCTAAAAGCTAGGAACATCTTAGCTCTTCATTTTATCCACAGAATTCTACATATTTGTTAGAATGTAACAAAAGCATAATTTAAACTAACTCCAACTATGTAACATACATACATGTAGCATGTAGCTTTAAAAAGTATACTGGAGGAGTGCATGGCTGAAGGAGGTGGATACCTAAACCCTGGCTGGCCAGTCTCGCTAATCAGGGGGCCCAGGTGCACAGAACAAACTGTCTCAAAAATTAAGGTGGACAGCAACAGAAGACAACATCTAATGTTGATCTCTGACTTCCACACATGTGCATATACACCCATCAAAAATAAACATACACAGCATGTCTAATATGGCCTCATATATACATATATACACAGAGAGAAATGGGAACATAGATATATGTGGATATATGGATATATACATAAATCTAATCTCTGTCTCCTAAGAGGACCTGGTTCAGGAACTTTCCATGAACAGTGAGAAAGAAATGTTTACATCTTTTATTTTTATCATTTTTCAGTAAGGGAAGCAGGGTTCCATGAAAAAATAGCTTATTTCAGAACTAGGGCAGGTAATATACAGAAGGCACCTGAAACGTTTTGTGCCGGGAAGGAGAAAAGCAATCCCCAAAGAATTACAGGAACATATTGAAAAGGCAGAGGAGTCTGCTTAAGGACTCCTCCTGGCCAGATCTGAGATAATGTGAGCCTCCAAAAATAATGACAGTAACCCAATATAGAAAATAAGAACCTGTAAGTCATACTGATACAAATTAATTCATTGACTTAACGAAGAATATGATATTTGCTTAGCTCAAAAGGTTTCCAAAAAAAAAAAAAGATCCTTTACAAAAGGGGGAAAGAGTAATTTTGCAGAATGGATGCCTGGCAACCAGTGCCTTAATCAAGTAATCAAAATGAAGCCACTAGTAACAGAACAAATTGAAATCACACATCCCATGAAAGGGGCTAACGAGAACACACTAGCATGACTGGGCTGTCCTTGCTAATAATGCAAGCAGAGTCTAATGGTGGAAGATCAGACAAAGCCAAGGGGAGGAGCGGTAGCTATGCAAGATGGCGGCTTCAGTCTTCCAAAGTACTGTGATGTTGGAAATAACACGAGCTCTGGAGGACAGAGACTAAAGATAGAACAACTAAACACACAGTCAGTCCTGATCTTGACCCTTGTGCAAGAGAGGGCATTAGCAAGACTCCATGTCTGAGCCTGTGGGGTGGTAACACATGGTGCTAGCTTCCCAGATTTGAGGGTAGCATGGTGGAGACATAGAAAACATGTGATAAAATATTCTGGATGATGAAGCATGTTGGCAACATTTCCCCAAACAGTCCTGGGTAAAATATTCTTCATATCATGCATAAATACTTTAAGTTTAAAATTCATTAAGAACAAATATTTTGGTGCCATGTGTTGTAGAGCACAACTGTAATCCCAGCACTTGGGAGACTGAAGTTCAAGGACTTCAATACCAGCCTGATTACATAGCAGGAAGACTCTCTAAAATGCAAACAACTAAATGTTTTCGTTAACTAACTAACTTTCCTTCTGACTCTTTCTTTCTTTTTCTTTCTTTCTTTCTTTCTTTCTTTCTTTCTTTCTTTCTTTCTTTCTCTCCTTCTTTCTTTCTTTCTTTCTTTTTCTTTCTTCCTCTTTCTTTCTTTCTTTCTTTCTTTCTTTCTTCCTTCCTCTTTCTTTTCTTTTCTTTTTTTTTCATCTGTGTAGTCTTGGCTATCCTGAAGCTTGCTCTGTAGACCAGCCTGGCATCAAACTCACAGAGATCCACTTGCCTCCTGGGTGCTGGAATTAAAGGCGTGCACCACCACTGCTCAGTTCCATTGTCTTTCTTAAAAGATATATATATATATCACTCAATTACTATAGCTCAAGGTCTTCCTCACTCGTTTGAGTTGCGGATAGCATTAATGCCTTGTTGTGGTAGAGAAGGTTCTTTTCTAGCTGTCTGTTGACGGCACACTGCCCTGAGCTGTGGACATCTGCAGTTCATCACCTAGTTCACAGTGACGTCTCCTTTCTTCCAGGCCAGGAAGAACGCGTCTGGGATTTTAAATTTCTCTCTAATCTGTGTGACAGTCTTACATTTTTATTTATAAGCCAGGCATAGTAGTGCACACCTTTAATCCCAGCACCCCAGAGGTGGATCTCTATGAGTTCAAAGCCACAAAGCTATCTCAAAAAACATATATGTATGTGATAGATAGATAGATAGATAGATAGATAGACAGATAGATGATATATAGAATAATTTATGTGTTTGTGTGAATGTCTACAAGTATGTGTGTGCGCTACATGTATGCCAATGCCCATAGATGCAAGAAGAGGGTATCAGACACACTGGAAATGAAATTTCAGACAGTCGTGAGCTGCCATATGGTTGCTAGGAATTGAACCTGGGTCCTCTAAAAGAGCAGCAGCAGATGCCCTTATATATAAATGTAACAATGATTAAAGAAAAAGGCTGTGAATTTGAATGAGAACAAGGAGGCACATGGGAGGGTGATGGGAGGAAAGGGAAATGATGTAATTATAATCTCAGAAACAATAAAAATATACATATAAGAAGATATGGGCTGGAGAGATGGCTCAGTGGTTAAGAGCATTGACTGCTCTTCCAGAGGTCCTGAGTTCAATACCCAGCAACCACATGGTGGCTCACAACCATCTGTAATGGGA